ATATATCTTAACCGTACGGCGGGGGTGGGGTTGGTCCTTCCCCCAAAGTATACTAATTTTTCAGCCAATATCTACCTGATATCAGCAATGATAATTTCTGGTCCCACACCCTCTTCAGAATCCAGCTTGAATCTCTGGCAGCGCTCCCTGTATGTGTACTGCCGTAACCATTTTTAAATAATCTTCACAAAAGCTACGTATGTGTGAAAATAATATTATACCTTTTCCATTTTCTTAAAATTTTGCCCTTTTCTTGATTTTCTTGGAATTTTCTCAATTATTTTATTGAGACATAATTAACATGTCATACACGTTCACAGTTCAGTCATATTAAAAGCAGTATATATATATGTCACTACAATCCGTTCCAGAACATCTTCCTCCATCCTGTATCATTTGTTTCCTATTTCCCTCCCTCCTCCCCATCCCTGTTAAGCCATTATAGCAGTTATTGTCTCTATACATACACCCATCTTGTGCTGTCTCTGATAGCAAGGTTATTCACGTTCCTCTACAGCAGTCAGAGAGGATTAAGCCTCTGGTGAACCCCCATTTGCAGGGATTTTGAGCTCCCTCTGTCATCCAGAGCCTTCTGCAAATTGAGTGTTCACAATTTAAGCTCTGATACTATGTGAGTTAAAGTTTATTGTGCAAGCCTGGCCAATAAACACATATGGGGTTAATCGAAGGGCGGAGGGATAAATGGCTCGGTGAGCCTCGCCTTTCTAGTTCTTGAGTCTCTTGCTTTGAGGTGCAGCTGCCTTAGCCAGTTTCCTGCTTCAGCTGAGAAGTCTCACTTCCTGCAAGACATCCCCAAGGAGAGCTGCATGGACCTACCCTGATGCAGCCCTGGGTGCTGGAGGAGCTGTGTAGAGACCCCTGCTAGCGCTGAGATGCTTACATGTTCACTAATTTGGCTTACCGCCTGCAGTCGGTGTAATATTGTGTGTTTTGTGAGATGGAGGAGGACTTTGTGTCAAACATATGGGTTAATGTTGGACTTGTGGGTTTGGGCAGCACTGGGTTGGGATGTTTTCTTGATGTGCACTTAACTTTTATATGAAACTCTCTCAAAAACAAAACAAAACAAACAACAACAACAATAAAAAACTCTCCCTTATACATGAGTTTCTGTGGATTTGTTTTTCTAATATACCCAGACTAATACACCATGCCTTCCTTTGGCTTTGAATTTTATTGTTTATCGCCCTTGGATCACACAGGATGGTGTGCTTCTTTTATATGGATTTAGTTGATGCCTCAATTAGATGGATGTTTGTTTGAATATGCTATTCTTTTTAAAAAAATCATTTTATTAGGGGCTCATAAAACTCTTATCACAATCCATACACACATCAATTGTGTAAAGCGCATTTGTACATTCATTGCCCGAATATGATATTCTTTAAAAAAATTTTAAAAATTATTTTAGTGGGAGCTCTTACAGATGTCCTAACATTCCATTGTTCAATCACATCGGGCAGTATTGTAAACTTGCTACCACAATCAGTTTTGAAACATTTTCTTTCTTTTTGAACTCCTTGATATCAGCTCCCATTTATCCCCTCCCTCCCCACCCTACTCCCCAAGAACCCCCTTTT